CGAAGTAGTATGCAACTTCCACTATTGGTTGAAAACGCGACAGGCGGTGTCCAGTTTTCTTAATAGCTATAAGGAGGGTGCAGTAAACGGAAGCAGAAAATGTGAGGCATTGAATTGGAAATATAGTTAACATCCTACTGGAATATCAAAACAACTATCTAGGGATCCCTGGTGATGCTATGACTCGCCAAAGGTGCACCTGAACTTGATATCATACAACTTATAGGTAAATTTGGTAATATATCAAATCATGAGTGTTGTAAATATATGCATAGGGTCGGCCTAAATAAACAGCTTGCAATAGTGGTTTTTAACTGCGTTTCGGCGAGTGGCTGCCAGAGGCGCCGCACAGGCAGATCGAAATCGCCTAAATACAGTCCAACACCCTTAATTGACCACCATCGTGCTAGTTCAAAAGTGGGCAATAAAAAGGGGTGGGCAGTTAACCGATATTGCCATTATTCCAAAAGGGAAACAACCACTTATTTATTGCAAAATATTTCATTTGAATTGTAACCTGCTATGAAGGATAAAATACATACTTGTAACTACTGCCTACAAAAGACGATTATTAAGCAGAGCATGGCTTAAAATTTAAAAAGTATAATTATGGAAACTGGTGCTACTGTATAATTATGCTGAAAAAGCAATCTAACGTCAGTTCTACATTATTTTGAGATGTTAATCCAGTCACTTTTTTACTGATGAAGTTCACTTAAGAAAATAATCCGTTGCCTAGCCTATGCAAAAGTCCTTAGTTATGCAGACCATTCACATAGTCCTTTGCTCTTGAATATGACACGCGCACATTTCTGTTACTCCAGGAGGCATCCGGCACGTCATGCTCTGCATCGCGGCCTTACTTCTGTTCTAATCGGTTCTCTAAAATTTTACTGACAATTTCATCTTCAACATTTGTCTGATCCGAGGTACATTCCATATCGTTGTCGATGGCGACGGATCTTTCTGCATTAATGACTGGGATTGTGCAAGCGTTAATCTCATCCTCAGAGATGACGGCATCATCAGAAATTGCATCGGATGCCAGTCGACTGAAGTCAGCATGTCGAAGCAAGCCTTCATTGTTGCACCGGTAGCCTGTCTCCAACATCTTGAAACAAACTGAATTGCATCGAGCACAGAAACCGTGACGTTAACATCCATTCCCGACGATGATAACGAATTCCGTTCATAATTTCCTTACTGTAACGCATTTTCAGATTCATAAGCACACCTTGCTCCATGGGTTGAAGAGTGCTGACCACTTTTGCCGGCAAATTTCCAGTTGAATATTTTTCAGCCGTTCTACCTGGGGATGCGCTGTGCAATTATCCAAGAGCAACATAATATTTTGGCCACTTTGGCCTAGCTCCTTGTCCCAATCGAGAACCCACTCAGGAAAAAATTCTTCTGTCACGCACGCATTTTTGTTAGCTCTGTAAGTAACGGGATGTATATCAACCTTCGCCCCCTTTAAAACAGCGCTTCCTTACATTATTTAATCAAAAGCAGCTTTTTTATCCGTGCTTGACATATTTGCGCACCACAAGAGGGTGATGCAATCCATCGTTTTTTTTTATCCGCGGAGCTTGTCGACAGAAAGACACAGAGAGCCCTCTGGAGTAGTTCGGTAAAAAGAGCTGTTTCGTCTGCATTGTACTCGTTGTCATCATCAAGTGCATTTAAATGTCCAGGCAATGGATCTTTCAGCCAATTCTCACAGACTGCTCGGTCCGCAGAACTCGTTACAATGCGCACGTTTATACACGATTCGATTTCCATTCTTCCATCTGTGAAACCATCCTTCTGTGGCAGCAAAGGTTTTCCAAGTCTTTCCTTGAATTCATCTGCCATTTGGTCAGAAGCGGGTCTGCAACTGTTTGGTTGTGCTCACAAACCTATACCATCGTCTTTCAATGCATTTTCAACTTCTTCATCCTTTCCGCATCACTTCCTTTTCTGTGAGCCTACAGTGCCATGCGACAAAGTCTGCTGGATTTCGTTTTCGCTGGCAATCAACGACGAAATGTGTAAATCACGCGACAACTTGGCCTGCGAGATTCCTGGTGGATAAGTTTTAATTTATCCACAACATCCAACTTTTCTGTCAAGGACAAATCCTTGCTGTTACTGGCAATACTTGTGTATAACGAATAGAGTATTGACAAATTGGAGTAGAAAGATTACCTGACTTTTCTCAGTTCTCAGGTTGTGAATAGGGCCTAGGACTTGCCTACAGCCGTCTGTACATTTAGGTGGCTCGTGTACTGAATGACTTAGGTAAACTTTTCTGATGTGCCAATAACGCCGCCGGCATCTTTGTAATGCTTGACTCGATCAGGCTGGTTAGCTATAGAGTAAGCATAATAAAAGATAGTCTGAGTGAGGGCGTCAAATGGACAAAGCGACAAGAACACAGCCCACGCAGCTGGGCAATTAAGCGGTAGAACCAACCCGGCAATGGGCAATTAGACGGTGAAAATTTAACGTATTTATGAGAAAAGCATTTGTATTTTGAAAAACTGGGCAATAAAGCGGGTTCGCCAGTACAACGCTTCTGCCAATCTGGTTTATCACAGGCACTCTGCACCCTTCTCGTCTCCATAATTAGTAGATATATGACCTGTAGCATGCTCCGCTTGTCTTGACGAGGTTACACTTCTCGTGAACATCATGGGCTTGAAAAGTATAGCACGGCGCCGTGATATACCTTCGCAAGTGGTGTTTGTACAGGTTACTGCGCCACAATGTGACTAGCTTATATGTCGCTTGGATCAACGACAAGGACAGCTGCATGAAAGCCACGGCGCGCGGAGCAGCGTAAGTTACATACAGACTAACATGCAAGCAGGCAAGTGAAGTCAAGCTTGCATTCAGAGTAAGCGAGTGCCAAACATTCCCGAGCTTAGCGTGCGAAGTGCGGCATTGCAGTGTGAGCGGTCCCTGTGAGTAAGTAACACGCTCAGCATCGCTCAAACTGTAAAATATGCTAGGCGACATGAAGGGGCCAAATATAGATGGAGTGCGGCGGTGCTATCGCATGAACGTGCTCAGAGTGGAATGATGCAAAAAATGATAGAAAGTGCCTTATTACGAAGAACGTAAACGCAGAGTTACGAAGGACGTGTGGATTAATGGGTGCTCAAATTAGAGTACCATTAATAGACCGGATGAACTAACGCCGCGGGTTGGCTCACGGGCCGTAGCCTTGTGACCCCTGAAAGTGGATGTTGGCAAGTTCCATGCGTTGTCTCTTAGTAGCGGTGTCCTGGAAGAATCGTAGTTAATGCGATAACTGTCGCAGCAACTGCGGAGCTCAAGTGGTTCACTGCGGCATGACACGACATAAATAGTAGTGTCATTGTAGGGAGGCGGAAGACAGTGGTTGGCCGGAGGACAGAAAGACCACTAAAACGGAAACGGACGGAAAGGGGAACGGGCGCAATGAGGGGGAGCAGACAGAGCAAAACTGCCCTAGCGGAACGAGATGAAAACTGGGCACGAGCGGTTCCCGGCAGTGAGTTTGAGCCAGGCAAAACTGGAAGAGTATTTGTCGAGAACGTAATAAATCGGATAAAACCGCCGTTATTGCATCCTCCCGGAACACCACAAGCAGAGCAATACATCCACGTTCAAGCAAAATACGAGCTATCGAACGACTCCGAATCGGTCAGAATGGGACGCGTGGAAGCGGAGCTACGGAGGCGAAATGGACATAGAATAATTCTTCTCGTACGTCAAAGAGTGCATGGACGTGTCGGGAGCGGAATTCGGGAGAGATGGTGCAACGGGGAAGGAAAGATAACTCATTAATGTACGCCTGTGTGAGTGGTGACAGGCTTTGATCGCGCCAATCAAGATTGCGCTTCGTTGTTGCGTCGTTCTTCCTACATCGTGAAGAGAGTTCAGTAGGTTCACTTCAGCGTACGCAACAGCTGCATGTGTCGTGAGTAGAGCTCATTTGGTTCTTTGTCGCTTGACGTCTATGTCCTGGGGATGACTCAGTTGTTTCTGGCACAGTCTGAGTCGCTGCATGGTGATTTTATGTCTCTGGTTAACCCGGCGAAATCTGTGCAAGTTTAGCGGTGTTATGCCAGCTCCGTAACGGTATTCGGAAAGTCAGTAGTAGAGACCCGTGGTAAGGCTTCGCACATCCGTTAAGTTATGTAGTTACCACAGAGGCAACTTAAAAATGTCTGTAAACAACTTTTTAACAGGATTAGCTGGGCTCAAATGAACACAGGATTTTGGAATGATAGAGTCAAGAATACCCGCGTGCTGATGGAAAGACGAGGATGCTGAATCAAAAGTAGTCGATCTGTAAATTTAGCTTCACACACAGTTTAGCTTCTGTCGGAAGGTCTCAAATGATCCAGGTAACTACCTACAAATGGGAAGTAATCCACATCATAATTTCAAGAGATGTCTTCATTATGCCGTTTATCACTCCAGTTGGGTAAGCGTTTGCACCCCGATGTTTCACTAAGTCTCACGTGTACACTATTTTACGCAGTGTGGCCAAAGAAATTATTGAAAAAAAACGAAACGTTTCTGTCACGATGCGCAAAAGCACCTTACGAATTATATTCAGTTTGATATACTGTTAGGTCCCTCGATCATTAAAGCCCCGCGGTGTCAAGTTTAATTAACTAGTATTCCTTATCCCCACACAGTTCCTAAACAGTATGTGAGAAACACTAATTATTGAAGCTGCGTTGTTGACCTTTTCTCCTCACACGAAGCAAGTTAGCGATCTCGTTGGTTTGTCTCAGCCGACTGGAGAGTTTATGGATGTGTGGATCAGCTCTTTTCTCGTAATGTAGCTATTATGTCACATCCGGCGATGGCGTGGGCAAAGTGGCATTTGTAGTAATTGCTTACTGTTCGTGTCCTGTCAGTCATACTGTAGTGTGTCCCAGCTTTCATCACGTGATTGTTGCAGTACTGACCAGCACGGAAATTTGTCTGAATTAATCCTCGCCGTTGTTTATTTGCATCAGACCTGCGTACCGCTTCGCTGGCACTCACCTTCCTCGGACCTATTATGGCCTTAACGGCCTACATTGTCGGGATCGTGCTATTCATAACTTTCCGCAAAAAGGCGCATCGCAGACAGCTGGTACTGTTTATCGTCGGTTTGATTGGATGGATTGCAGGTGAGTCAGTATGAAACAGTACCACCTGTGCTTACAGCCTATGCACCGAAAGGATCTATCGAATGTAGTGGCAATACATCTTGCCTATTTGTTATTACTGCTAGTTCCAAGAAATATTCGGAGAGTATTCATGTATTAATCTGTGATTGGCACTTCCACATAGGTAGTAACTGTTGGCTACGTGTCTTTTGCAATATTCCTTTGAAATCAACACTAATGAAGGAAAAACGTACACATTAACCATAAGGACGGACGAAGTTTGACAATAGGCCAAACGAAAGAGATGCTAACCTGTTTCAGGACAATCAGAAATGGCTTAATCCGGCTCACTTTTACACTATCAAACGAAGGCATTTTGTAGGTACACACACGTCGCAACACGAATTCAAACCCAGTTTCGGTAATAGCCTAACACGCAGACTCTACATTCGCACACGCGTACGATATTCGCTCTTTCTATGAGTATAACGCAATAGAGAAAATTTGCTTGATGTCCAAATTTGGGTGCCTTTGTAGAGAGTTCTACTAATTGAAAATTGGCAACACATCCAAGTACCTGAGTGGCAGTGTTTTCAGGGTTCGCACACACACAAGTACCATATTACACAGTCCTCCAAGGTCAAGGGTACATTTCGGATCAGAGGACTCATGGTTGTCTCAAGTTGCTCATTTTAAAAGCGCAGGCATTATGAAAAGTGAGGGATATCAAGACAGCGGTTGTAAACACACTCCTAATAAAATGTAAACATTCGATGCACTTTCGGTACCTACAATTCATTCCGTGGCGCCAGAAGTGAGAAGGCGGCATTTTCGTTTTTCTCTCGGTTGGCTCTGCAGGCTTGTTTTTAAACTTAATTACTGGATTAATAGCGGATACTTTCTTCAGTGTCAGATGTCTTGATAAAACTGCATGGTATAACTTGAAATTGGCTTTTAACTAACGTCAGACAGTTTTACGCTGACCATCTCTCATTTCAAGTTATGCTGATAGCGGCCGAAACCCACGCTCCTCTTCCAACATAACGTTAATGCTAAGCACCTGCAGCTCACCGAGGACGCTCAAATGGGAAACCTGAATACTCCAACGGCTTTAACAATCGTAGGCTGACTGAGGGCTATGAAGACGAGATCATTCGTGAGCTTGCTGTGATCCTAAATGCTTCATCAACCCTCATCTGATTCGCTCCCAACCTGATATCCTGCACTGTGAGGTCATCGACGATCCTGTGGTTTGTTACACCGTATGTCGGAGGCGGAGAAGACTGAGGGCCAAATAGACTGAATTACCTATAAAATTTTGTTCATCGTCTTCTACAACCTAAGATTAGCATCCCGGGTTCGATGACATACACGTGCAGTGGACCTATTTGATCCTCTGAAAAGTCAGATTTGGCATGCTTAACTGTGGTGCTTAGGACATCAGCTACGAGTACCCAGCCACCGGCTCGTAGGTATGCAATTTTTGTGCCGGTTGCGAAGGGGTACAGTTTATGCAAACGGATAATATGAGCCATCACAAGAGGTTCGTAGATGGACCCATCTGGATTTCTTCCTTGAAGTTCATTATATATGGATAAGCAGAGTATGGAGAGGTGGATTCAGTGATGTGTTTCTGGTCAGTCAGCATCACTCTGCTAGTTCAGTTAACTACTTCACCAAAGTCTGAGATACTGATGTTAAATTTGTTAAATTAGGCAAAACTTATCAAGCAAAATCGGATGTCAACAAAACAACTTACTACGACAGCGCTGTCTGAATTGCACACAGTGGAGACGCAACATTTGTCCCTTTGGTCTCCCGGAAGCTGCCTTGTTTCAGACAATAGAACAACGAAACAATGTAATTATCTGAAAAGCACGGAAAGAAGACGAAGACTGGTAGATGCGTGCATTTCGTATTGTCTCCTCAGTACCATTAACAATAACCGATAAGCATAGATATAGCTAACAGTGGATGCAACCAGACAAGCTTAAGGTGCAAAACGAATGACGGAAGTTCACACCTACGTCCAAGGCAGCTTTAGGCTGACAAATTATTGTTTCTGAACACACAAGGCTGGCTTAATCCGGCTTATTGCGACAGCCTCAGCAAACCGAAGGAGGCGGGGATTAGTGTGACGTAACACAACATTAAACGCTGAGCCCAGGTCTAATTGGTGACCCGAGTCTAATAGGTGCTTGCCTATCAAGGAAACCGGCAGTCTGCGGTAACATGGAATCTGACCAGGGTAGGCAATCTGAGCAACTTCACGTTGAACCCATCTTGGCACATGTTTCATTATTCGGGAAGTCAGCGTTCTATTGGTTCTGCCTATGTAACTTTTTCCGCATGCATCTACCAGCCTTCGTCTTCTTTCCGTGCTTTTCAAATTGTTGAAGGGAACTAACTACTTTAAATGTAATTATCACCGATAAAATTGCAGTACGCTTAACAGTTTCCTTGTGTAAATGCTGAGATCAAAAATAAATGCAACAAGGAAAGATAACGTGTAGCGGTTGACTTACAACAAATTTTACGTGAATACACAGTTTGGTTGCTTCGTTCCGTGTCTCAGATACTTGGGTTAAATTATGCAGTGCAAGCAGTGTAAAGCCCCATCAGGTCGGATTTCGAATTTCATTAACGTAAGAGCGGAGATGACCGAATGCGAGTAAGCTCTAGAACACAAATGGAGGAGAAGTTCCGGTGGCATTCCAACCGGCTGTACTGTGTGACTAACTTCAAACGGTCACCTCTCAGTGAGGTGGTGTGAAAGAGTTTCAATAAGGGTCGGTATTGGTGATTAGGATCACCGAAGACCTGATATACCAATAGGAAATTAGCTTGCAGAAAACGATATTGTTCGTTAAAAAAATCCCAGTCTTTCACCTCAAATGGCAAAGGAAGTTGAGCAATCCCTTAACATTTTTGCCGTCCTCTGTTGTGGCATCTCAAGAGCAGTGACGTCACGTGTTTGCCAGGTATGTCATGTTTAGATGTTGCATTCTAAATGTGTCCTCATGTAAGCGTTTAGCATTTTAGAAAAACGTGCGATTAAACTGGCTAAACGCCCTCCTTAATGGTTAGTTGGCTTTCTTCTCCGTTTTCTAAACTTCTCTTGAGCATCCTATATCGTCCTGCATAAGCACTCCAAGATGACTCACAGAAGAATCACGCCTCAAGACGCGTTCTTCTAGTCGATATTCGTAGGTGCACCTGTGGCGCATACGCATTAGTTTACACTTGACAGGGTTGGACTCACGAATGTTCCCAGCCGAACACCAGTAAGCCTTATTGACATTACCTTGTAATGATATGTAGTCTTCAACTCGTGTGATTGCCCGCCAAATCTTGGGATCGTACGCAAAGAGTAGCAGGTTTGTCGTCAATATTCCCACAAGGTCGATTTTGAGCAATAAGAATAGTCGTGATCCTAGTACCCAACATTGAGGGACGCCGCAGTGAACCTCCCTCAAGTCGGACAGGGTGCTTCGAACTAGCACATTCAAGCAGCGTTGGAGTAGCAATGCACATATGCAACCTAGGATGGGATCAACGATCCCATAGTTGCGAAGCCTGTAAAAAAGAGTGCGGCAGCCTTAGAGAAATCGAGGTAAGCGTCGTCGATTCCTTCCCTAGCACCGACAGATTCAATCCAGCTGGCACGGGCTAACGAGAGGTACGTCGTACGCGAGTGGTTTTGGCGGAATCCATGCTGCTCCTTTCTAAATATTCAAATGAGTGCTTTCGCTGCGACACACTTTATGGCTTTATCAAGCACAGGAAGACGAGTAATGGGGCGGTAGTTGGTGGGCACTGCACGACTGCATGCCTTATAAATGGTGACGATTATTCTACGGTTCCACGTGGATGGAATCTGCATCTCATCAATACACCTTTGGAATAACTGAGATAACAGTTTAGCTAAACTCATGGCAGCTACCTTCAATGACTTGGAGTGCATGTCATCAGGACCAGATGCATTGTACTTGCGTAGTGATCTCAGTCGCTTCGGCACATCTGCGATAGTGAAAATGTGGCTAATCTCTGGTGATGCCATGAACTGTGTAAGGATGGTATGAGATGGCGGTGGGTTCTTGAAGTCGCAAGAAATTGATATCTAAGGAGATTAGCTGTTTCTTGTGCAATTCGTGCTTGCTTACAGATGATGTTTATAGACAGGATTCTACACTGTACTTTGCGAAACTTGCTAACATGCATGTAAAGTAGCTTAGGATTACAGCAGAATATGTTCCGCAAATCCTGTTGGCCTTTCAAATTAATTTTGTGCGCAACTGACACAATGGTTTCGCCCAGTTATGTGAGCATTTTACTTTCCGGCGCCTGGATCAGATTCATATCTTCTTCATACTGAATCGCTCATGGACATTCGTTTCCCTTTCCTGCTGTTCAGGAAGGAGTTTACGTTCTGTACCAAAGATCTTAGTCTCTGATGAGTCTGATGCGAGAATGCCAAATTGACTGACGCACTTCCCCCAAGCGACATCGGGGATTTGTTCCGCTAGTAACGACAAAACAGTGATGTTGATATCGGATAAAATGTTGTGGTTATTTTGCAGACCTATTCGATCTCCCCACCGAACTGTTCTGCCTAACGGACGTAGCGGGAAAGCAGTGTCGCATGATTGCTACACCCAAAGGTGCTACTCATCGTTACCATGTCGATCATAAGATCCTCATTGGTAAACAAGAGGTCCAGTATTGCTGATTTGTTCCTTGTTCTGAATCTTAGAGGGGAAGTAACGTGGTTATGGAATGGTATGCTAACTACTAATTCATCTAGATTAGCCTTGAACTGCTCACCAAAGGAAGCCGGAACCTCCGTCGCGTGCAACCCGAGGTCTCCCACAAGCAGAACTTGGTTGTTTGGCTGAACGAAAACGGTTTTCAGTGCGAAGTGGACATGGAGGACGGTATAGGAGGGCAACCAAACATGTATCGCCGCGTCTTGTTTTCAGGCGGCACGAAAGTGGATCCACAACTTGAATCTAGATCGTCAATGGCTTGGAGGTGCAGGTCACTGTGACGGTACAAAATTAAACCATCTCCTCTACTAGATTGATTTTACGGTGTAGTGGACAACACGTGCAATAACCACGAAATACAACCGAGTGAAGTAAGCTCAATAAAGGTAGGTTAGATATAGCTCATCCGTCCTAGGCAGGTGCAATAAAGATACCACATCGCACCAAGTCAGTGGTTAATCATTCTAGTGAAACTGTCCAAGCGCAACTTACGTGAGCGATAGAATAAGGATGACACAAAGATGACAGAGATGGAGTAGGCAACTTTTCAATTTAGCAGGGAAATGGCGTGATTAAGTCCACTGTTATTCATGAGCTCTGCTAGGTTAAAGTCCGCGGTGAGAAAAGGGGATTCATAGCTATGCACACTTTAACAAAGAAGTAGAAGCACAATGGAACAATGATGACTAATCGTTGGTGTGGGCTGTGAATGCCGTCTCCTATATTAACTACAGGCCATCAGTGTCGGTAGGTAAATCAGAGCCGGTCCAGGCGTCTTTTCCGAGGTGAGCGAGAATTAACAGGTATGTGGAACCACCAGGCAGTCCGTCCTGTGTTACTATTTATTTCCCCCTGGTCATTTGTTCTGATCGCTAGCATATCTTGACTAATTCGTCAGTGTCTAGAATGCTACCTGTGCCCAAGCATTTCGATTTGGATGTCACAACATGTCGTCGCTGTTCCGTAATCAACCTTGATGACTTGTCTGAATCTCCGTGCGTTTACCTGAAGGCAGCAGCATTATAAGGGGGCGTAAAGAGACACTTGAGATGGGGTACACTGACCTCATATTGCAACCCGCAATAAGTCACGGGGTCACACGAGAAGAAATGTAATAAGATCCATCTGTCAAGTGGGAAGGTATGGAGACACGAACAGATGTTAGCAGAACTTGTAATTTAGGCGAGTCCCATTTAGACATTGAGCCAGCAGATAATGGTGTCGCGCGAGTGAAAATTCGATCAATCTGTCAAGCTGAAGTGTGGCTGTTACAATGTTTCTAAATGCTTTCCACTTAGTTATTCAACATGAGATATCAGTCGACATACCAAAGGTCCCTGGTTCGAGTTGCAGTACTGCAGTGCTGCGAGCGGGCATTTGTTCACACTTGTGTATGGACTACCACAAACTGGATGGGGAAACAATAACCCTGATGAAGCGTAACACTATGAACGGGCATGAGTATGGATTGAACGCAAGAATAACAGCCACATTTCTCTAGTGTTGGAATGTCGTACAATTATCGTACAATTATATGCAACCAATACGAAATGGAATAATGGTATGGAAACAGCCCTCGATTTGTATTCCAACCGTAGGGACATTCCAAAAACGCGTACTCAGTCTAAGCTCATCGAACTCAAACGACGGACAACGTGCAACACAGCGGCAGATTCCCCCTGGTTGTCCATTACGTAGAGTATGAAGTTCCACCCCCCTTAGTTCTAGCACCGTTTTACACTTATTAAATTTTATTCCTATTTAGATACGCTGGTGCTCAAGACAGCTTGTTTTGTGTCCACCAGTTTTGAAATCGATGTAGGTTGAGTCGTTGGCAGAAAGACGGCCGAGATCCGCGGTGTCGTGATAGTCTAACAGGTGGTACTTGCCTCAATTGTTCTCGCGGCAAACTTGAAAGTGCACCATGCCCACTACCCTAGGGAAGCAGGTTGCTCATCCTGCAGCAGTAGTGGATGTATCCCCACACCGTAGCGAATAATAATATACCGATCCAGTCCCCTGGGTAACCTGTGGGAGTAACGAGGCACCTGAATGGGTGGAGGTCACTCATTGTCCCCTACAACGATTCGGCATGTCCAGACGCCCAGATATTAATCGAATATATTGTCCGGAAGGGGGGTCTGTATTAGCTATCAGGTTCGGACCTCACTGCAGTCAATTTTGATGCAATGGTTTGCTGACATTCGTTCGCACGCCATCGCCAACACTTGGTCGCATTTCGACGCCATCATCACTGCGGTCCTGCCAACCAAGGTAGCCATATTCTGTGCGCAAAACCAAGAGGACTCAGCCACTTCCCTTGGTGCAGTTTGGCTCGCTTCAGATAAGAATGGTTATCGTAGTTGGAGCATCTTATCACAATCGGACAGGTTAAACTCCATTTCCAGCACCTTAAATGACTCCAAGGTGCCGTCCCTAGAGTTTACAGCGGAGCAGCCTTGCACACTACGCTGGTGACCTACATTATCCGTTTCCGTTATACGCATGACACAGCTGTGACCTTAGGCCTTTGTCACCACCAACGGCGTATTATGGGCAGACAGAAAGGCACAGTACATCATTACACCTATGGGGCAACATCAGACGGTTTTATGGGTTATGGCTGATTGGAAGTGAAACGGTCGATCACTTCCAGCTGGAGACAGACGTGTTCATTGTGATACAGGTTGGATGCACGGGATAAGTTTGGGCGAATGGATAGCAAGTGTTCACAGCAACGGAGCTACTACAGAGTTTCGTGCGAGCATAAAAGTTGGCTTATGATTAATCACAAAAGCGGTCTTCCGAATAAGACTTAAATACATAAATAAATTTGTTATTGAGACGTTCGAGGTACACCCCTTAAAGGGTGATCATAGACATACTGGATAGAGCTAGTTTATCCAAATGGATGAAATGCGGAGTCAAGGTGTGTGCCAAAATGAAGAGGGATAAGTCCGCGGCAAATGGAGTACCGTGGTGTGATACCAAACAGTGACACCAGACTGCACAGATTTTATTGATCGACAGCGTACTGGTTTTTGCGGTCCAACTTGGAACCAAAGGCTTACTTGGCGTATGTGCCTCAACAGCAAAGTGCGAAAGTGTTTCGAGTGTCACTCCTAGTATATGTAACAAAATCGTCTTGCCTCGGTAACAGTGAGTGTTGTTCAACTTGCATATTGTTTCATTGTGGTCACGATGGGCTACGCACCTTCCATCGCGTATTCCAATCCATACAGCACACAGCTCCCTCGTGCTGCGGAGTTGGAACCATCACCAAATGTTCTTTATTACTTGTTGTTTAAATCTCACAAAAAGAACAAGCCATCTCCCCGTTTTGTACCTACTGTATGTCTTCGTGTTAACTTCTCATTTACACAAAATATGCCAGTGGGCGTTAGCGAAAATATAATAAAATGCTCATAACTTCGTCAGCTTTAGTATGGTGGCTGTTTTAAAGGAAAGTGAAAGCTTGATATCTGTCACCAATCAGATTCTGTCGACTTATTCATGTCATCGATCAGAAGAGCAACTGAGCGGAGGCCAATCGGAGAGCAGTGAATGAAACACAAACTTCCAGAACCCCGTGCGATATGATAAACCCCATCAAGTAGTGTATATAAGTTGGTGGTAATTATGAGAGAAAAATAACCAAAGAAAGAGCGCACAGTCCCAAATGCAGGAAATAGAAATGACAACTTGTTTCCCTTGGAGTCCATATCACCGATGGTAAAAGTTGTTTCCTTTTTCTAATTAATAGCATTGGCATCATATTTTGGCGTGATAACGTTCCTCGAGGGAAAGAAACAGGAAAGCTACGTAGATGAACAAAGCATCACGACCTTCCGTGGATCCTGGGACACGGTAAGTACGTATATAGTCAAGAACCCCCATTATGCGGGCGAGTGCTTTTTCATAACGCTGCTCGTAAGATGATAAACACAAAATCGGTTGGATCATCGATTTCAAATCTTGCACTATAGTTTCTCGACCAATTACTGGCGCCTCAATCCTTTAACTTAAAATCTCCTTCACAGAGAGTACTATGTGCCGAACACTCAGCGTTTGTCGTCGGTGTTCGTTCCCCAAATTATCTATCACAGCAATTTACGCGAAACTATAAAATGTCTGTACCTGGAGTGTGTGTGTGTGTGTGTGTGTGTGTAAGTGGCTCGCGCTGCACTTCCACAGATATCTTCCATACAGTAGTAAGCTAAAGAAATAATACCAGCTGGCATGCCGGAAAGAGCAGCAATTACCTCGCAGTATATTCACCATACCCTTATGCCAAAGTCTGTCGTGATACAGGGTATCAGTAAGACGATACTCCGGAGTCCTGACAGGGCACCGAAACTGTTACTGCAAAGTCTACGAAAGCTGGTGCATACATTTCATTTGCCGTTGGTTTGTGGTTTCCCGTAAAATGGGGGTAATACGCACCCTACACATCAAGCGCAGTTACTTCACTGCAATCTGTATCATTTTGGAACCGGTCTTTGGGCCTAGCACCGTCACGACACGTTCGCGCCCAATCTCCCGTAGCAATGAACAACAGTTTCCTGTATCCAGAAATACTGATAGCGGCGTTGGACGGCCGGTGTACTCGTCAAGTTCAGTCCAACCTGCATTGTCAAACGAACAACCATCAAACCTGGGGCGACGCGTTTATTCACTTGGACATTTCAACTGTACTGACGAACACGATCTGTACATGCAGGTGGTGTTTCGGGTGAAGGAAATCGGCGAGCGACCAGTGAACCCAGGGCCAATGATCAATGGTAAATAGCCTATGGCATAGCCTAAATGTCACGCAGGATGGTCGATGGGGTTTTTCAAAAGATAACCATAAACAGCGAACACTCGAAGATAGTAAACATACCGCTGAAACACCTTCCAGGCGAGCTGATCATCATCGTGCAATCTAGAGGGACGTGACAACAGCTATTCGAAATGCCTGAGCGGATGGCGGCGTGGTTGCGGACAGAGGCAAACAACAACATTGGGCGAGCGGTGCACGGAATCTAACGAACCTAAGCTGACGACGCGGTATGCAATCGTGACTGGCTAACTGGGGGAACAAAGCCGACGAGAGCCAACTGGACAGAAAGCGGACCAATTTCCATTCAGTTGGCTTGATCGGCTTGCACCCGTCAGCTGAGCAACGCAACTTAACATGAACCAAACTCAGTGTAACCCAAAAGAGGCTACCTGTGGGTTAGAACCAGCGCTGTGGACGGACGGTGCGTGTGGGCCAATAAACATAGGCACTCATATGGGAATCAGCATGGGCGACTAGGGAGTGCGAACCTGTCGCATTGAAACAACACATCGAGTTGTTGTCAGTGTAGATGATGTGATGGTTGATGGTCAATAGATTTTAACCACTAACTAGACTTGGTTTTGGTTCTCGGAGGGCTATGTGACACAGTCTATGCCACAACAGGTTGGGCACAAGCCTGTTCCAAGTTGTTTGTTCATAGCCGCGCTGTGGATAAAATGGGTGCAATTAAGTCAATCATGGCTGGCCCTGATGCTGATGTGTGGTTGCATCATCGCACTACCGGTTGCATCCGACAACTCTGGCTTACTTAGTTGCCTAGCGTGATGGCGAAATTCCACCGAGATGAAGCCGTTTGTAGTGTGTCTTTACATTTCTGCTAACTGAGCGAATCGACTGGCAATTTTTTCACCGGCGTCCATATGACTTCTAAACTCTGGGACCCAAACTAGCTAACATGGGGGTTGCAGTCTGCATGTGCAGACCTAACGCAACCATGCGAACACAGTAATGACTGGTAGCCGATCGACGCAAGGACAACAGAACACAGTGAGCTGGCAGCACGCATCGTTTCCCTGGCAAGAACGTGTACAGTATCCATCAAGTGACTGAAGCCAAGTCACTGGTGAGTGTGTGATCGGTAGGCAGCCATAAATGCCGTATGTAGCGACAGTCAATGCTGGGTGTGAACATCAGGCTTGCGACGGTGACTCATACGACACAGGTTTATTCTTATGGCCACGTGTGACGGACAAAATCAACGAATCCAATCATCACACTCCCGGAAAAGCAGTGTACGGCCGTCTCATCACTTCATGAATCAGTTGAGAGCTCGTCGCACGTTGCAGAGGACAGGGTTGACCCCATTCGCAACTTGAATGGCAATGGAAGATAAGGCGCTATGTTGCAGTTAGCTTGCAAATCATGACGGTCCGAAGCTGTCCGCCGGTGATGCAAGCCGCTGGTGGTCATGGGTTCGTATTCTAATAGATCCGATGGATGCGCACTACTGACTATGCCCAACAGGCTGAAACTGCGGTCTAGTGCATTTCCAAATAAGTGGAGGACTATCTGCTTTGGAAGCTGGTGCGATGAACTCACAGTTACTTACAGCAAAAATCCCCTACTCATGAGTAAGCCAGTGGATAGTGAGCGGCGCTATATCACATCTAGTAACTTATTCACGATGGTCGTTGCCGTCCCCCGTAGCTCAGTGGTCTCAACTACGGACTGGCAACAGTCGAGTTGTGGGCTCAAGCTTTATCAGGGTCCGATGGAATGCGCACTGCTGACGATTCCCGAAAGGATGAAACGTGCGTACAGTGCTTTTCCGGCGTGTGGTGGCTGTCTGAGTGAGTCTAGATGTGACGAATTGCTACCCATACCATTCAACTCCACCTACTACATTTCTGTAATCATGAGTATTTGTTGAATCGTCTACAGAGCGTTCTATCTTTCTTCCGTTAGGTAAGAACCCGCAACCAAACTCCTGCGAGTCCCTGTTTTAGAGCACAGAGCTACAGGATGGCGACAACAGACATGACTGTTACCAGAGGTGATGAAACGCAACGCATGCCCTACTGACTTGCACGTTACTACTTTGCAAACAAAGATGAAAACTTCACAAAGTTGAACCGCCAAACGACTTACGGGATTTAAAGGCATCTGATCAGTGTACCGAATACAAGACGGTAATAACGAGATTTACAGGAACAAGACTAGTATTAGTGAATTCAAGTTGTACAATTTAAATCCCAACGCTACTGCTTTGCAAATCGTTTCCTAGCTGTTTTATGTGAAATACAGTCCCGTCGGCTTTAATCCATTGGCCTAATGGCAACGGAACTTGGATTCACAACATTAACTGGGCCCTTTGCATTGCTCAGGCCTGCAGAGCGAAACACAGGTACTGGTTGCGATGAGAATGAGTGAGAACCAGTACGGATAACAATTATCCCAACATGTGTCCGTAGTCTGGCACAAGGTGTATTGTAAGTAGCTGCAATGAACTAGAAGCAAATTGGCAAGAGCAGAGAGTAAGGTAGCGTACGAATTACAGAGAGTTCGAATGACAATCAGACGTACCGTCAGTAAACCGAGTCGACGATCGGAAGAAATAAACAAAAATAAAATTCAATGTCACAAAATACTGAAAGCGTAAATGTTTCATGTTCACTACAGGGGTATCCCCCTGTAGTGCGATGGTTTGTGTACCCCTGTGACCCATTGAGCTACTCTGGGTGACACTTTCAATTGCCCTCAGAGCCACTCATACCAGACAGGTCAATGGTTAGGGGTCAGACCAACTCAGTCTTCCAATCGCCTCGCTGCCTTGCGGACAGGCTATTTAGTCAAAGGCTCGGGGTGGAGTCCCCTAAGGCAACTCCCTACTTCGGCTTGGGCAACTGGGTAGCATCACGCCCACTGAGTAAACTATGGACTGTTCAACTGAAGTATCACTCTCAGCTGCTTTTGCTCCTACTAGGCACTCACCTTCACACGTCACCTGCTCACTTGTTACAAAGCAGTAGTATCCGTTACCAAATAATTCTTGTTTCTATGATTCTACTCCGGATGGTTTCCTCGACACGAAGAGAGCTCGCCCAGTTGCACTCCTTCGGCCTCGGTCTTCGTTCCGTCTGGTATGCTTCAATGTACGTACACTCGTGCAGATTGGGTAGCAAGCTGGTCTTGCGCACACCCTGAAATCCCTCGCCATCGATGTTTGCTGTCTTTCCGAAACGCGCTCAAAAGATCCCAGTACTGTGATTGAGTTGAGATCACCCACCAGCCACGGAGCCATATTTCACCTACGTCTATCTGGTGACGCAGAAGCAGCTGCGGCAGGCTTGGCTGACGTTGGTGTAGCGCTGAGTGCCAAAGCCGAGTCAGCACTGCTGGACTGATTACCGATTAATAGCCGGCTGGGTGCAGTTCGGCTTCGGGGATTATGGAAGATAAACCGATGTCGTGAGGAGGGACGCAACTTGTTTGTGATCTCAGCTTACGCTCCAACCGACTGCAGTCCCGAATGCATCAAGAACGATTTCTACCGTGAATTCCATCAACTCTTGAGCAGAGCCTGCAAATCCGACATTGTTGTCCTTGGTGGGGATCTCAACGCACGGGTCGCTCATCTGCTGGCACGGGAAAGTCACCTCAGTGGTCACCATGCGCTCGATCGTAGCCTTTCAGATAATGTAGAGAGACTTCTCTCACTGTGCGGAGATAATCATCTGTTTTTCTCGAGCGCCAACTTTCGGCATTCGAGGAGACATTCCGCTATTTGGTGTTTCAATCATGATCTCTGATTGATCATATCGCAATCAGTTTCAGATGGAGGGGTAGTGTAATGGATTATAGATCTATCTGGTCCACTTTTCTTGACTCAGACCATGTTCTTGTCTGTGCGAACATCTGCATGAGTTTCGGAGGGTCCCAGAAAATGAAGCGCTTTAAGATAGACACAAATAAACCATCTACTTGTTCGGTTCAGCAGTTATAAAGCTTCCCTGGTTGGTGCACTCGGCTGCGATCCACCGCAAGATATTGATGAACACTGCACGTGCAAGCAAAGGACCGTGAT